TGACTGGAGTATTTCCTGATATATAGATAAAGTCCAAGTATGCATAGTCGTTTGCCGTAACGTAGGTTATACCGTGAGTTACAAAGTGTTTCAGTTGTCGGGAGTTTTTTCGAGTTCGGTAAATAAATGTCGGTTTGTTTAATTGAATGAGTAGAATGCCGTCCAACAAATGAAGTGTATCGATAAGATACGGTCGACATTCCAAATCCACAAACCTAATAACTAGGAATGTTTTCACACTACTCCCAGTAAATGAACAGGAAGGCGATAAACTGCACCTAGTTGATTTATCACATAAACCTTCTTCCATATGATTAATATGTGATGACTTATTCCGAAGAGATTAAAACTTAAAGTAAATACCTACAGAAATTCTAGAAGAATATTCAGAATGGTTATATGCACTGGTTGTTGCGAAAAGTAAATTTAATTAAAGTATGGAGTTGGGTTTTAGCCATCATCTATTGAAATGTATTAAAAAAAACAACGCTGTTCAGATCTGTCAGGTTGCTTTTCAGGAGTAAATTTTGTTGGTTGTCGACACGTTCCATCATATCTATTATGACAGTCTCGTCCCTTGACCTAATTTTTGGTCTCATTTACTCATGATCTTTCTGGTTGGTTGACAAGTTAGAGTTATTTCATCAATATAATTATTGGCTGCTTATTGACCTTAGTATCAAGCTTCTAAAAATTATCTGGGTTTTGTGTTTAGGATTTCAACATTTTCCGACAAACGTATACATTATAGTATCATTGTGTCACAAACCATCCACCTTACCGCATTTAGTTTATCTGTCTTATGGGAAAATGGACTGTATGTGATACCAAATACAGATTTTCAACAAAGCCTTACCTAGCATATAGTTTTCACGTGTATAAACATAATTGGTTTGAAGTTTTTGTCTGCTGAATAAGGCTATCTGTTTATCGTTGTTATAACGGATTAACTTAAGTTATAGACAATTAATATTACGTTAGAACAATGAGAAGATAGAGTTGATCTGAAAAATGTGGTGTATTTAAGCCAATTCGAACAATCTGGTCACACGTACACTTGTTGGGGTATTTTCTATGAAAATTAATAAAGGTCAATTAAATGAAAGTTTAAGTAACAAAGAGGCGAGAAACCATTTCACATCATATAGAAAGAATAAGGAATTGTCGCGTTATCCTAGGCCATAGAACGACTATAGCGCAAATACATCGCATTTTTCAGATCAACTCCGTCTTCTCATTGTTCTATCGAAATTTATAAAAGGAACTAATTGCTTTATATTAATATTACGTTATTATTTCATATTCCGAACTTTTCGAGTTCTAAAGATTATGTAAAGCATTTGTTACCGTATTTTTTGCCTTAAAGTGTAGTACTTGAATTAAATAAATAGCATGAAGTAAAATTATTACAATCATTTAGAAAATGACAAGGTTGGCAAACCGCTGTCACCAATCCAGTGGGGTGTTCTAGAAGAGCCTTTCAAGGTTCTACAACCCAAGAATAGTATTCATGTTCAAACAGTCCTAGACATTCCCAGGCGAAAACCATTCGTAATGGTATCTTATCACCCGGTTGAAGAATTCACCCTACGCATGAATAAAACTTTACCTGCTCCTCACAAATTAGCTTCTTTACCACTCTCTTCTAATATAGTGCCATGATTTTACAAACATTCGCTAATGAATATACGGTCTGGTGATGAACATATCCAATACCTTGTTTGGATAATGCAATGTTTTTTAACCAGTCTTCCTTAATCTTTAAAAACAGACATCAGGTCGTTCAAACCAGAGTACGATACCGTCCGTGGTTAGGCATCTTCGGTTTCGTATAGTTTCAGTGGCTCTAGCTTTAAAAGGCTACTGATAAATTGTTTATAGATACGATATCACCCACACATTATTTTGATGACTCCTTGATTCTTTCTATTAAGGGCTGGAATAGATAACAATACTTTCCCATAGATATGCCGCTTGGACTAATATAGTACATCCCAACTCTATTTTTTGCCTTAGCAGTCTGTCCAAAATGATCAACAGTTCGTAAATTTGCTGAAAACCATTACTTGTAATCCAAGCGTTTTGTTAAGGTATTAGCAAATTTACTCGGCGTTTTAAATGGGATCAATCCTTTACGGTTTTCAGTGAGTCAGGTGACAGTTAATTCCAAGTTCGGGTGAGCTTGAAGATTATTGATCACACTGTGTGGATGAAAGGATTCTTCAACCTTTAAAAAAACGAAAGTGAATCTCCTGACTATTAAGAACGGGTCGGATTCTAAACAGTTCTGTGAATATCTACTTCATTTGTAGCTGATCTCAACATAACCTTTGGCCTAGACTACGTTTACAACGAGATTACGTAAGGTATCATATTGATTTATCGAATGACTAAATGCTATAAATCTCCTTAGTTTCAATTTAGCTCCTGCAGAAAACTAAAACTAAATATTTGGGCTCATGTTTTTTTCTATTCCAAACAGATTTTGAATGTAACATAATTGATTATTTAGACCTAGACTATTATGTTCGATTAATATTCTTGACAAAATTCCATTATTTGTAGACAGATATAAAGTTACACAAGTCTGCCAAATCAATCCTTACGAAATCTCTTAAATCAGAAAATCCAGAAGATTTTAAACAAAAACGAAAGAATAAAAATCTTTCCAAATTAAAAAAATATAAGAAGCGTCAATCGAAAAAGAAACATTCAAGTAAACAAATAACAAATGAAAGAAAAACAAAAACATCCAATGAAACACAAGAAGAGGCTTTAAACTATCTAAGAATATGGCATGAAGATTATGAAAACTGGAAATTTAAGAAACTTCTACAATCCTGGTTAATAAAAAATGCACTAGATAGAAAAATGGTGAGTTGACTTATGCCTAGTGTGTGTGTGTAGCAGTTGGCGATAATGGCAAACAAAAAACACCCCATTTCCTTCTCAGTTATATCTGTGTTTCAGTTATCTGTGACTTTCATTTAGTAGATTTTATGTCAAAGAAGTAGCTTCAATTTTTCCACGTGAGAACTCCCATGGCCAAAGGTGTATTCTAAATGTTGCTGCTCGTCATGAATTCATAAAATATTGTAAATGTATGCGACTTAGTAATATCGTGTGCTGATGACCTTACTATTATTGTGTTCATCTCTCTATCAGTATGGTAATTGTGATTAGTAGGTTAGCCTCAAGTTCTCCAATCTAAATTTAGTGCTGAATTATAGTATGCATCAAATCAGCGTAAATAATGAGCGATTCAATTGTTAGTCATTCCTAGGAACTTCAAAGTAAAATTGTGTCTAAATAATAGATTCCGGAAAATATGACACACCAATCATGTTACATTCATTTTTCGGCAATAACTGGTTGTTAAATCATTTTGATTTTTATAAATATTTTCAATTTTGTTGATAAATTTTCTATTCACTCTGGTTTCCTATCAAATAATTGAACTTAAACAGGTTCCTAGTTCAGAGTTCCGAATATTTAAACAATATATTAAAGGACTAGTTGGATGTGCTCGACAGAATTTATTAAATCAATGCTCAAAGATAATGGAGGAACAAACTGATGGGTTGGAGACATGTACGGAACTTGTAAGTAGAGGAGATATGTCACCGGAAAATATTATTGGTCAGCAGAAGTCAGGTATGTTCCGTCGATAATAAATCCAAAGATTATTATGCATACATATGGTGAGAAATCTTAGGTTGATGCATATTAGTGTTGGGTTCTACATCGTTCATGATTAATTCATATATAGCGTTGGTGGTCCATTAGTTTAGTATCATGCATTTTTTAAATTCAAATTCTCAGTTATGAAACCGAATTCTTAAAGTGTGTACATGAACTAGGATGAAAAAAGGCAGTGCAGCTGTGAGATAGCTGACTAAGTACTAATGATTTTTTTTTCAAATAGTTTATGTATCTTTGCTCTTATATTCAGAATAAATGATTTGAAAACCGTCTGTAAGGTGCAAATATAACCTGCATAACGCATAGTTCTACGCTAAGCTCAGAAAAGTGGTTTGTAACTTGAGTGATCGTCCACATGTTTTCGGATAATGAAAACCACTCTATGCCATTCATATTCCTTGTTGAAGATTCAGTAAATGTAGTGTGAATTCTTACCAAGTACGGCCTAATATATTGGGCTTTGAAACCCACCTTGTGAAAGTACTACCGATACTTGGTCATAGATTCTTTTAGTATGCTATGAGATGAATTTCACCTAGTTTAATGAATTAAAGCTACACAATACGATGCCAAAAATAATTTAACCTCACACTTGCACATTTCCATAAATGCTAAGTGTAATATTTGACTAAACAGGTTTTCCACTAACCTGGCTGTATTGTTTTTTTCTCCTTACAGAATATTCAACTGCTAGAAAACGTGCAAAGAAAATATTTGCAGTTTTATCAAAGACTTCTGATGTTCAATAAATTTTTACATAATACTAAGATTTTTAGTGTTATTAAATCCTTTGTATGCACCAACCACTATCATATACTTCGAAATTATTCATAACATGATGTTACTAAATAAACGTGTAGTAGTTCATGACTCTATATACATGCAGGTGGAACGGCGTCTCAGTAGTTCAAACGTCCGAACTTTAACCACTAAGTTTCACGATAAAAAGAAACAAGTAGTCTGGTATGTTTTACAACTCTTAGTAATATGTATTACTGAAATATGGAGCCAAGTTCTGATTGTGTCAACCTATTTATCTTTCAAAATCCCCATTCTCTATCAAAGTAAAACTGATTAAAGATGTGACATATCCCGTTAAAACAAATTATTACAACAGAGGCACATCTTTCCCTGGGAACAGTATAAAGAAATCTAAACATGGTTGTTAAGTAAACGAAGATTCTACTTGGCGCTTTCATATGGCTAATGCAAATCAAGGTCATAAATAATCTCTATACCAAAAAATAGTTAGTACGTGTTAAAGAACAAAGTGATTTCCATAAATTATACTAGATTTACAAAAGTTTATATGTTTGAAAGTGGTAGGAATTTGTAAACAATCATGAAACTACACAATTTGTCGTTTGAATTGCTACTGGAAATCATTTTCATCAGCTTTTTTTAAATGCTTTTTTAAACTTTATCTTAGTGTTTTTCGCCGAACTACTACTTTTATTGATAAGTATAAAATGAAAGCGAATGTACAATGACAAAAGGTACTTTTTTACAAGGTCGTTGTACTAATCATCGTTGATTCCTCCTCATGAGTACATTTTTTCTGCTCCTAGCCATGCGTGCTTTGATTCGTTCACGTGAAATTTCTGCTCCTTCTTTAGCTAGGTTTCGTAGACGATCATTTTCTTGTACTTGTGGTGCTTTTCCTTTCAATCGAAGGTAACGTACTAGATACCTGGTTAATATGAGTGTCAAACCGTAGCGTAATGGTACTGCCAGTTTGTAGAATACAATGGCTGTAGCCAGAGTATTCACAGTACCCCCACCTAAATGGAGGGGTTTACTTAGCCAACCAGGTGCGTTGAGACTGTGAAGAATATCCAGCAAATTGATCCCACTGTAACCAAAAGCAGTGCAAAAAAAGGATTTCTCATCAGTAATATCAATCCAACTAACTAAATAAATGTTTAGTACTTGTATTTGGGATGTATTTACGTAAAGTTTACAGGTGTCATCCAGTTATATAAATCAAAATATGTTAAGTGGAGTTTGAACAAGTGACGCATTGATATTTACATCTCAGTTATTGCTATCTCTAGGCCTTAAACTAGCATTGTAGTCTGTAACAAACAGTTCTAGATGGCTTTCAAATCCAATAAGTTTTGGGTTGGTTGGTATGGCCATCCTCTAATACCTGACAGTGGATGTTGTCGATCAAGTCGTAATATGACTTTCAGCCTTTTCTAACTCATGTTGAAGGATGGGTTATGATTTTGCCTTTACAAATGTGCTTTGAACTTTTAAACTGTGTGCAACTCTCATAAGACCTAAATAAGTAACTATCAGGATCATCATATTAGGTGCATAAAAACACGAATGTGAATAAGTGATATAAATGTAGAAATACAAATCGAGGGACTTGAAGCTTTAAAAGTCTATAGTTAGATCAAGTACATTACATGAATTTCACAGCACTACTTTACATAGAAGGAACCTGGGGGTGAACACCCAGTTGAAGGATACTAACTTGACGTAGTGGTTAAATCTGTATATTAAGGAGTCCCACAGATTGGAGCGCTTATCACTTATCACTAGCTTAAGTTCTCCCACTCGAGACGTTTTTTAAAAGTAATAAGTTTATAAATAAAAGTAATATATTTGTAATATTCCAATGAGTAGAAAAATTAAATTCTCGACGATCTTCCTCATTTTGTTCGTTTTATCTATACATCTTAATGATGTTATCACAGATTTTACTTTTAACGATTACGACTTGAAATACCGTTTCCAGTCTATCAATCCCATACTGCGAAATACACTGAGGCTTTAAACATCAAAACTGGTATATTTAGCCGTAAATGCATGTTGTCTTGGAGACATACAAGATCTATGTTACGTTCATCAATTTGAACCTAATATATGTTTGCAATCTGCTTCATGGGATTCTAAGGTCTTATTGTTTGCTTCTTAGAAGCTAAAAGGCAGTGAAAATACAGACGTCTGGAATAGAAAATACTACATATAGTTCATAATAATTTAATCTCGACTTGCAAAATGCATCTAATGGTTCGTGGAAAGAAAGGTATAAAGCAATTTTAATCTCATGATTTAAAGGGAGATAAAGAGTGTATACACCTACACCATTGTAATCGATTGTGAACTATGTCGATTACAATTGTCTAGGTACATACACTCTTTGTCTTCCTTTAAATCGTGAGATCAAAACTGCTTTATAGCTTCCTTTCTATGAACTAATTCTTCCTGCATTGTATCCTTATACGCATTCTTTCTTTTATATATTACTACCATTGAAGTAACTACTATGATTTTGGTGATCGTCTTGTTGTGCTAATGAGGTATGGCAACTTGGACCGATGCATATATGTGTCTATTCCTACGCTGTAGCTGACTCACCGATCTAATGGTTTCGTCTTACAAAATAACTGAGTTATGATAAAAGACGGGAACGCGATGGAAAGTTTGCACCACGGGAAAATAAATGGATTAAGTTGTAAACTTACACCGACTGAGTCAACTGAAGCACCTTTTCGTGTACAATTTTAACTGACTTAAGATTAAAATAGACAAAACTGAAGTAGTTTAATGATTTATCACACTAGTTAGCTACAAAAACCAGTTACGAATCCACATCCTGCATTTGGAGGGAATCGCATCCCGAACATGTTTGTATTGTTGCTTAAAGCAGTTAGAAGGCTAAATTTTGTCAATAGAGTAAACCCTTTAGTATTTCAGTGCAAATTTCAAGTGTTCATTTATCTGGGGTTTAAAGCGACTGGTGATCAATACAAGTCAAAGATATGTTTCTCATATCTAAGTAAAATTAGACGGTCATTCTCAAATAGCTAGGCACTAGATGTACCAGTTTTCCATGTTTGTACATATTGTTTCTCACATCATATTACGGATTTGATAGTAGATGATGATTACGAACTACTCAATTTTTATACTTCCAAGGGCTTTGTAGTGTTATCTGTATCTGGAAAAAAATTCAGCTTTAATTTCGAAATTTATCCAATAATCCTCAATTCACTTTGACGAAAAAATCGGAACACTGTATGTGAAAACTGACCTCACGCAACATTTTCAACTTAATACCTTCGATGAGCAAAGTTTCATGAAAGATAGTTGATACATAAAGGAAACTGACTCAAGATTATTCAACATAAAACAGATGGAAAAGTCGAGTAATTATACATCTACAACTGATGCCAAAAAACTTTAGGCGTCCACACCATTCTTGGTTTTTAGGCACGTGCGTTATCCTTACTGTAGAGTAAACTTGTCATTCTATGTACTAATAAGTTATAATATTTTAGACAGACATGTAGATAAGGCGTACTACTAGATAAACCATATCAATCAATTGACTTTAAAGAAACGGAGCTTTATAAATTCTGAAAATTGTACCAAACGATGAGCAGCTCTATGACTCAACATAATTTATACTAGTTGCCGGCTGATGGAGATACTACTATGATTAGATGCATAACAAGGAAAAAAGAAAGATCTTACGTGCAAGCCAGTGAGTAAAACATTCCAAACCACAAACATGACGTCACACCATGAGTTACCAAGACAACTTTCCCGTAAATTGCATAGGCATCCTTGAATCTCTTGATCAGACTAGATTTCCTTTCGTCCAAGTCATTTCCATTTTTTTCGTTCACATTTGATGGGACATTGTTCTTCGATTCAGTAGAAAACTGTGGAAAATTTTTCAATCCGAAAGAAATCTTAGGAAAGCTGAAAGGGCGTGAATCTTTGGAGAATAGAGAGTAATGTATCTGGTTGCAACGAACAGAAGGAAATTTCGAATCATTTCCAAAGATAAGCGTTGATGCAGTCCGATGAGTACAAAAATTTGTAAAAATAGAATGATTTGATGCGACATAATGCCGTAAACCGGAGATTAAGGTTTTGTTCATGATATTCGGGCACTAATTACTACATATATCTGCTAATACAGGATGGATAGTGTTTCCATCAAGGTCATTTCTGATTTTTGAACTCATCATTCGCTTCAGCATACAATATCTATGACTCAATCAAAAGGTTCAAATGGTTGTGGATGGAATAGAAGCTTTTGCTTAACGGGCTTCCGTGCCTAGTAGCAATGGATCACTAATACCTCCAGGCAGGAACCTAGGTATATTATTGATAATAGAGGAAAAAGAAATTGGTAAATTATTGTAAGATGTAATCCTTAGTCCTTAAGAATAGGTCAAAATGCCTCTTAAACGACTCCTGGAAAGTCGTTTGGACTGGTTCAGTCGCAGCGAATTCCAGCATTTGACAACTCTCAAGGAGAAGAAGTTGTGTCCACAGTCCGTTCTGCTATGTTGTGTCTCCAGTTTCTGGGTGTTACTCCTTAGGTTTGTGTTGGAGCTAAACTTGAGTAGGTGTTCAAGGGGATTTCCAGAACTGTTAGGGGTACTGTAGGCCATTTGAAGGTCAGCTCTAAGACGCCTATGCTCTAGCGAGTGATTGGAGGCGCTCTTCATAAGGCTTGAATCTGAGACCCGAACTGATTTCATGGCTCGCCGTTGGATACGCTCCAGTGTATCTTTATCCCTTTGGTGTGAGGGAGGAAATACTATGTTTCCGTACTCTAAATTGAGACGAATGAAGCTGTTGTAGATTATGTGGAATGTTCTTCCGTCAAACTGGCCAAAAATGCGCTTCAACGTTACCAGTGCAAGGTTTGCTCGGAAGGCATTTTTGTCACAGTTAGCATAAGACTTTTAATCGTAGGGCTTCAGGACTCCTAAATCTTTTTCGACTTGGGATACTACTGGAGAGGAGTTTCCTAAGTTGCGACTGTAGTTTGCGACATGTCGCAGATGAACTACTTTACACTTTGTAGTGTTAACCGTAAGTCCGTTATCGTCTTCCCAACTTTGAAGTCGAGTCAGATCCTCCTGAAGTGCCTGTATATCGTCTTGGTTGCGTATCTCTCTCCAAAGTTTCACGTCGTCGGCAAAAAGTAATAAGTCTGATATTACCTGTTGAGGAAGATCATTTATGTAGATCAAGAAGAGAAGAGGTCCTAGTGCTGAGCCCTGGAGGACCCCATTAGAATATTCCACAGCCTGAGATAAAGTGAAGTTAACCCTAACCTTAAAGTGTCGGTTTGTTAGGTATGAAGTAAGCCAATCAATTAGAGGTGATCTGATACTCAACCCTATGAGCTTATCGATAAGACATATATAGTTGACACTGTCAAAAGCTTTCCAGAAGTCAAGGTAAATGATATCAACCTTCCCCTTGCGATCAAGGATGGTTGTCCACTTGTCCACCGCAGTCAACAGGTTGGTTATACAAGAGTAACCCTTCCTGAAACCATGTTGTTGGGGTGAGAAAAAATTTAAGGACAGTAAATAGTCATATGTACCATCGCATATCAGGGACTCCATAATTTTTGAATGTATAGAGAGCAGAGCCACCGATCAGTATCTTGAAATCTCGCTGTGTCGAACTTCTTTGAAAATTGGTGTGATGTGATCCAGCTTCCAAAATTTCGGTAGTACGCCTGGGGTTGGAGAGTGTGAGAACATCACGCCAAGCAGTACTATCAGGATTGTAGTCGCTTCCTTCAGTATAGCAGAACGAACTAAATCCGGGCCAGGAGAGTTGTCTTTTCTTAGGTGCTGCAGTTTCCGGAACACCAAGTCAGAGCTCAGTCTCACTTGGGAAAGTCCCGTGCAGTTGCAGATGAAGATTTAATCAATATAGGTAATGTGGGTCGGTTGAAATGTCCGAGAGTATTGTTCAGCCAAAAGGTTAGTGGCGTCACCGTCGTTGTCTGTCGAGCCATTAGGACCCAGCAGTTGGGAAACTCCAGTTTTAGTTTGACGAAGTGTGGCTGCATAACGGAATAAGCTTTGCAGGTTGGAGACAAATTTATCGATGAGCTTTATCTGGTACTGTAGCCTCTCTTCTCTCATCGCTTCTGTGCATAAGTTCGGTATACGTTTGTATTGCCTGTACGCGCCGTTGTTATCAGTTCGTTCGTATTCTGCCCAACAGTGCCTTTCGCGGTTTAGCAAGCGTAGAGTGGGATTCTTGACGATTGTAGTTTGCTTGTAGCTATTGGGGACCGTTTGAGGAACTGACTGTTTTGTAGCACATAAGAGTGTGTGCAGTAAAAAATCCCAATGAGCGTATACACCAAGTTGGGAGTGAACATCCCGATCCACATGTTGTATATAGTCCGGTAACGCTGACACATCCAACCGTTTGAAATTCCGGCGCCTGTCGTTGGTGGGGTATCTTAGTTCAGTTTTGCTAACAAAACTACAGGCTATGACGGCGTGATCGCTTTCCCCTCATGGGAGCCAGGATCGAGAGGTTGTCAACTAGGAATTATTCGTTTTTAAATGTCCAGTCTAATCGCGATGGCGTCTGAATGTTTCCTGAACGAATTGCTGACTTCACATTGTCATATAATCCCAGGTCTTCAATGAACTTGAAGAACCGAGCTTCAGTTGAGTGTTCATCTCCAATATATTTATGTTCCGCGAAATTGACTTTAGGAACATTGAAGTCCTCTAGAATCAGGATATGAGTGAATCCGAGTTGCGTGGAGCAGGATAATCCTTCCAGCATATAATTGTCCTACTCTATATCATCAATGGGCTTGCTGCAGATGACCCAAAATATACAGTTCTAAGGGTAGACAATCTTACGGGGCACCATATGGACTATCTAAGACTGATGACCTCTTGGTTGTGAACTTGGTATATCTCCAGGCATGATTCTTAACCACACAATCATAAAATTTGAACACGAGACAATTGGTGAAATGGATATTCGACATTTAACGCGGAGAAAAACCGACAATGGGGAAGGTGGGAAAAATTAATTGAATTAGTCCAAATTGATCGGATGGCGTGGCTCGGCCTTGCAGGCGTGGTCGTTATTGTGTTAACATATACCTTTTATTCATATTACATACATTGTTCTATCTCTAGCAAAAGTGTGTTCTTCATCATATACTGATTACTGTTACAACGCGATGAGTTGGTGTAGATAATAATGTAAATTCCACATAAGATCTTAAAAGTCAGGCAGTTGCATCATGGCGAATCTAAAATTTTTAGATTAAGTCTATTATTAGAGAGATACTAATATCATAGTAGACCATAATTCTACAATGATAAGCCCGACTAAATGAACACAACCTATTGTCGGTAATCCCTATCTTCACTTTAACTTTCTCGATCGATTTTTACTTATGTTAATCAGAATTCTGTCAGCCTTCTGATTAATGCTTACATGTATTATCGCAATGTTATATTGATTAGTACTCATAACATACTATTTCAATCGATACTAATAACTGGTCTTCTATGTTAGTTAGGTTTGATGGTCAATCAACAAGCTTTAATAGCACTTACATGCTTCAGTTAAATAAACTTGAACGAGACTCTAATTTATGGACGAGTCAATCAGAAGCGTTTGAGGAATTTCAAGGTTACGGAGCCAAGTTCAACCCTGATGCTCACATACGATCGGTTTACGGCGGATTTTAGAAAAGAAGTGATTATTGAGCGGCCACAAGATATGAGACTACTAAAAAGTTCCTGTATTTGTGACTGTGGTTATCAAATGTCTGCAGTACAGTGTGCAGACTATCGTAATGAGATTGTATTTCGTTGTACTTTATTTTGGAGAAAAAAGTCTGCTCGAACGTGGACTTTCTTCGTCATATAATAATAATAATTTATTCTCAAATAACAGTTTTTTACATGAGGCATGCCAGTTTACAGGCAAGATCAACTTGATACAAATGATACAGTATCCACTGTAGTAAATTACTCAGCTGGGTTGATAATTTATAAGATATGAATGTAGATGGTTTTAGTCAGTACCACAGTTGGCGCGCTTCATGAAAGTTGCGTTGCGAGTGTGTAACTGATGGTCAAGTATAGGTCCATTGAAGTTAGGAGCTTCTAGAGATCGCAACCTTATGTCCCTTTGGAATATCTAAGGCTTTGAGGATGGTGCAGGATGAAATCACCGTTCCATATCACAAGGGGGCTGAAAGAGGGAACAAGTAAAAGAAAACACGAAAGGCAGAGTAGCCAATATTCATGAAGGAATGTTTAAGGTATGATTACTCAATCTAATTTTCTTTTATTAAGGTTTTTGTTAAGAAAGAGCATTTTAATAGGTTAAAGAAAATAAGTGTTAACAAGGTATGAGTGGACATGCAACTGACAAATGGAGGCGATTCGGAAAGGAGCTGAGAGTATGGGATTATGTGTGATTATAAAATAAAATATAGTGCTAGAAACAGTATTGTGATATACAATTGGCTATCTTCCTTATTTTATCGAAGCTATTAGATCCCCTTTCATTTTTTTGGTACTATTTTTTTCAGGTATTATAGAGTCTTGAGTAGGCTTCGTATATTAACGAATTGTCTAGTTTGCTTGTAATAGGATTTCTGGGTAGGAAGTGAAACTAATTCAACGTTCGTAACACGGTCTAATGAGGTTGTATAACTATGGTCTACTATGATATTAGTACTGCTCTTACAATAGACCTAATCCTAAATTTGTAGATTTGTCATGATATAACTGCCTAATCTATAAGATCTTACGTGGAAGTCACACCATCGACTACACCAACTCACTGTATCGTATCAATTACCAATACATGATGTAGAACAAGGTTAGGCTAGAGAAAGAACAATATATTTAATATGAATAGAAGATATAAGGAACATTCAGATGGACCACGCCTGCATGGCCGAGCCATGCCATCGATCAACTCCAGTCCATTCAATTCATTGTTCGCGCCTTCTCCATTGTTAGGTATTTCTCCGCGTTAAATATTGAATATCTATTTTCTGAGTAGTCTCGTGTTCACAGCTTTGTGGATTGTGTGGCTATTGTCCAATGCCACTACACTACTCTCCCACCAGAATCAACGTGATGTTGGTTCGATACCAAATTGGATGGGATCGTCGCGCGCCGGAGGTTACCAAGGATAATAAGAATC